GATGAAGAGTTTAGATTCTTTTTGGGGTTTATGATAAACTTGAATTCTAATAGTGATTAATTCAGTTGCTAGGGATATATTAACCATGTGAGTCTAGGCCCATGGGCTTTAGTCTTATGGTAAGATTACAATATATGATCTGTGGGTTAGTCCCTCGTTACAAGTTCAAATCATGCCTCAGACAAAATCCTGGTATTTAAATGGAGAACAGGGTGGATCCATTATCCACCGAGGAACCTTGTGCCATTGGTCCCTGAAGATTTCTGTGTTAGAAAAAAAGAAAATGACCATGTTAATTTAGATTTACTTTTTTCTTTCCCATATTCTTTCCCCTTACACCACTTTTGGATAGAAGTATGACTCTGTTGATTCTGTAGTTATAGATTGCATGATTCAATTTGCCAAAGCATCAGTTCCCTTGCTAACTCATTTTTGTTCTCTTTTCCAGAGGTGTGACTTGCAGTAACTGTAATGTTGTGCAGGTAAAAATTTCTCCTTTCTGGCTTTCATTTGTTTGCAGAACAAACATTTTGGTACTTCTGATGATACTTAGTGATTATAGGAGTATTTTAGGATTAGCCAAACTAGTGACGTGATTTGAGAGCCAAATACTGACTACACCTAGATTTGGAAGGCAATGAGGCAAACTTGTGACAGCAATTTGGTGCTAATATTTTCTTGTGTTGTGCCTCAATTAACCCTTCTCATTGAAATGAGGTTGAGGACAGATATATATTCAATTGTTTCAAACGGTTTATGACCTTTTGATTTCTGATTTATAAATCAACTATTGTGCTTATCCTAATATTAGCTCACTTATTTATCCAATAAGTTTATGGTTGCCATTTGCCAAAGTTTACTTATGTCAGAAGAACCAATTTCTATAATGGACCTTATACAGTGACTCCTGTCTTGTTAAGTGCCTAGAGCTTATACTTCCACTAGTCTAAATTTGTCTGTTATGTCAACAACGTTTGATTTTTACTCTGCTTGATTTGCAGCCTCCACGCGCTAAACATTGTCATGATTGTGACAAATGTGTTCTTCAATTTGATCATCATTGTGTTTGGCTTGGAACATGCATAGGACAGGGTAATCACTGCGCTTTTTGGTGAGCATCCATGCTACTAAGTTGATGCACCAACAATGTGTTTATCTTGCTCGCAGTTTGGTGAAATTTTTCTTGCGATTTAATTGAAATCGTTTATTTGTACCTTCAGAAAAACTAAATGAAAGAAGCCTTGTTGTGTATAAAATTGGATAAAGATTTATTTCTATGATGGTTTCCACATGTTATTTTGGAGCTAAAGTGGAAGTTTGATGTGGAAACCATGTGGATTTAATATGATTAGGACATGTCAAATTGGAGATTTATGTCCTAGATGTAGATGTTATTTCAGAAAATGATACTAATATAGTTATCTCGCTAATTAATGAATATAAAGCCTCATTCGAGGTTCTTGCTTTCATGAAGAGGCTTCAATTTTAGCTTGAATCGTTCGAAACATATCCGTGTCAGCATAGTTTATCAGTTCGAGAAACCTATAAGAGGATGTTGGTTCATTTTAAAGATCATTGCGAAAATATATTGAACCAGTTATCTGGGCTTGGGATATATGTGTACTTCGATGTGTCTAATTCAATATTATAAGTTTTGTATAACTGACATGATCATTGTTCTACTCTTAAGAGCACAATGAAGACACTATTTAGTAGGGGGCTTGTCATATTGTACTTTCCTGTAATTTTATGTATTTTTCTTCATCTATAAACATGCATGAAGCATGTCAGGGTGCTTGATTTTCCTGAACTTTTAACTGGTAATAGCTACTTTGTATTACATGTCAGGGTGCATGTGCACTGCATGTTTTTTCTTTTTAGGGTTTCAAGTAATTGGTCTTGGTAAGGTTATTTATTTTCCCAAGTATAACAGGTGGTACATTTGTGGAGAAACAGCCTTATCCCTTTGGACGGGCACGTTATATATTCAATTTTTGAAGTCTGATATATCAAAGCCTTGGTATGTACTTTTCATGATGCTTTATCATTTAAGAGCTTTTCTGCTTAGCCTCTGATTCTGCCCTTAGTATGTTTCTCCTCTGCTCCTTACTAATATCTTCCTTCCCAGAAGAAAATAAAGATGGAGGTTCTGGGGGGAGAACTGGAGATGGACAATATGCACCCCAATAAAAAAAACTAAGGGAGATGTAAACTGCTCAGTTTTCATACCCAAACTTATAATAAGAAGATGTTAATTCATTTGCTTTAGTTGGCAAAAGGCAAGCTTGCACATATTGGAATATTTTACTTGCTGTTTGAAAAATCATATCGTCTTCTGAGAAATTAGAAGCTTGAAGAGAGTCAATACCACTACCCTTATTGGATCTTATACAACCATGACTTGTAAGCTATTGTGATTGTCCTAAGATGGCAGTTGAAGACTTATCCTGAAAAATTAGATGACTATCTTATATTGGCTGTCAGCATAGCGTAACCCATATTCTATTATCTAGATAGGACCATCCATACAAAGCTCATAGGTGGAATATACACTACCTTGATTTTTAAAAATTGCTGACAAGTACAGCAGTTAGTGTGAAAGCAGCAAGGGAGCTGCATCTGGTTCCGACTTCAGATTGGGCTCCCTTAAAATGCCTGAGTATGAGCTCTACTTTGGTTGTATAGGTTGCAAAAACCAAACTTCAATAGATAAAATAACAGTGGGAAACAGTAGTTAAAGAAGGGGCCTGCATCCTCATGACAAGATGGTACTGACATGATTGATATTTTTGCTTCTGTTTTCATGTTTTTGTTGAATCTGCACATATCCTTCTATAAAAGAACAAGCCTTGTGAAATTCATCCAGTTTAAATCTTTAGATGAATCTGAAGTGAAATGCTATAATGGCTTTGTTGCAGGTGGTTATATGCAATTATGATCTTGCTGCTTGCTACTCTGTTTTTCTGCCTCATCTTCCTTCTCCTCCTCCTACTTTTTCATAGGTAAGATTTCTCTTTGCTAAAGATGGACTTCATTTAGCATTGCCTAGCACAGTAATTTTGTATTTGTTGGAAGTTTGTTAGATTTATGTTCTTAAAATTATATGCGTTGGTCCTTCTAAAAATAAGGTTATATGAGATTCTGGAACCTCTGTTTGGTCAGCAGAGTTGATAATTCTGGGAAAGGATGTAATCATTTCTGTAAGATAATAAATATCTCGTGTAAAAAAAAGATTTAAGTGTAAGATGCTTGGTTACCTCCTTTCAGTCTTGTGAAGGAGGTAGAAACATACTAGAGCTAAGCTATGCAAACTTCATAACTTGCGAGTGAAAGCCTGTTATTTGTGCCTATATTATTCCCCATACTTCTCTTAAACCTGTAGCTAAACTGTCTGAACTCATGTTTGTTGAATCAGCTACCTAATTTTGACAAATCAGACCACTTATGAGCTTGTGAGACGACGGCGCATCCAATATTTGAGGTTGGTTATATCCTTCCAATTCTTGTGTAATATTATTTACTGGGTAGTGGCAGAGATGTCTATGTTGTTGCTTTGAGCTGGATGATATGATTAAAAACATTGGACAATGTTAGTTGCAGATATGGTCAACATCTTTGAGTGATTAATTGATATCTCAAAAACAAATGGAACATGTATTCTCATCAGGAATTTGTCTCGTCTTTAAGCTCAAGTTTAAACTTGCTTTAATTTGCAGGAACATTCCTGAAAGAGTGTATCCATTTAGTAGAGGAGCATGCAGAAATTTGTATGAGTTTTGCTGTGCCCGGCGTAGCAAATATAGGATGGAACCACTGCCAACAGGACAAGAACTTGAAGATAAGTTGAGACCCTACACATGCTCAGATGTTTTATCCTGTCGGTGTTGCTGTTGATCACTTGTGTTGTATCCTAATACTAGACATTGGACTCCGGCTAGCACGACCTCAATATATGTTACTCTTTCTCTCTTAATTTATGCGACTACATATAGAATTTGGAGAGTCATTTTAATTTGTTAATTATTGTAATTTACATTATTGTTAGTATCATTTTCAAATGATATATGTTACTTTCTCTATACCAATTTATGTGACATTGATATAATTTTAAAAGTCAACCGCGTTTTATGTCTTCTAAATATTTTAAGTTGTTAATTATTGTGATTTATAGTATCGTTTATTTAATTTTAAAATATTATATGTTACTTCTTTTTTCTCAATTTATGTGACACTAGTAAAATTTTGAAAGTCTATCAATCTTTTTATTTATCTTTTAAATACTTTAAGTTGCTAATTACTATTTACAATTTCTCTTACGTAACTTTTAAATAATATATATTATTCTCTTTGTCCCAATATATGTGGCACAAATGAAATTTTAAAAATATTTCAAGTTGTATAGTATTTTTTACGCCATTTGCAAATAATACATGTTAATTTCGTTGTCCCAATTTATATGGCATTGATATAATTTGTAAAGTCAAATAATTTCTTTATATATCTTATAATTATTGTGATTTATAATATTTTTTACGTAATTTTTCAATTTATAAAAAAAAATTAAAACGAGAAAATCATAAAAAAAATATTAATTAAGTAAAATGATCCTACAAGTACATGCCAAGCAAGCATGTTGACCTATTCACAAAATTAAATGATGTTTACATTTTGTATATATTTTAAATTTTAAATTATGAAATTTAATTATTATTTTCTATTTTTTAAAAGCTCGAGCTAGTATTACATAAAGCTAATGCATGCATTATTTTTTCTAAGACACTCTACTATAGGTTGAGGCTTGAAAGTATAAGGATTGTCTTTGAACTTGAATCAAGAGGATCATTTTTCCTCTATGAACCTTTGTGTTTAGAAAGGAAGAGTGGAAATGAAAGACGAGACAATATTTTCAGCATCATGCTAAATTACAATTAGTGTGGCAAAAGCTCATGATTATGAGATAAATGAATCTTAAGTTGTGGCTTACAAAGGCGAGGCCAGAATGCTATGCAAAATTGATTTCCTCAAAACTAGCTATTTCTTACAAGCCGACGAGAAAAACTCAAGAGGGAAGAAAGAATTGGCTAATAAAATTATGCTAACCATATCTGGATGTGCATTGTGAATTGAGAGCTGTACAGACGATCACTTTCCACTACTCTTCCACTTTTTGATGGGAAGATGGTGACTTTTCTCCGAGGGGGGTGAAATCCACCCTCTGTGGGTCGCAACACTGAAATAGATGTTTCACGTTCATCATCCTTATACTCCTTGTCAACTGTTAAAGGTTTTAGCTCAAAGGTCCCTTTGGTAAAACCTCTAGCAACCTGGTTAATCACAGCTTACAGAAATCAGCAAATACAGAATAAAAGTGATATTTGTTATGAAAATGAACAAAATGGTTAAGCATACCTTTAGAAGAAGCCAAACTTTGAGAGAACTACTCAAGATAGCTAGCCTTGTCCTCTTTCCTGAAGTTAAATAGTTAGACATGTACTGATCAACCCTGAGAATAAATCTGGGCCAAGACTTGGGGTTTTCAGGGTCTGCCTTCAGATCCGTAGTGGACTGCAACACAAGAAACAAGAATTAGTTTTTGGGAAAGCGGTCATTATCTCGAATCATGTTGAACTATATTCAGAAAGATCCAAAAGAAGAGGAGGAGAAATGGAGACCAAGTGGTAAGAATGGATTAGCTTGCTAAAGAACCAAAAGATTTTGGATCAACCTTTTTGCAGCTTAACAGATGAGGAGGAGATAAAAACCCAAGAAGATAACCTTGGAAAGGCATCTCAAGAGTAGTTAGTTTACTTACTAGCAACCGGCAAATTTCACGTTCAATCTTAGAGTATGCAGTCGCTAAAGCTTCCACTCTCCCTGTACCATGACAGCACATACATGGTTCACTGATCATGAATGTCACACTAGGTCGAACCTGTCAGGTATAAGATGAAATGACCAACCATGATTAATTAGACATTTCCAGTAGTGTAGTTATGACAGAGAAATTCAGCACCAAATAACATACTCTTTTCCTGGTAATCTCCATAAGCCCATGTCTGGACAATTCAGACACCTTAACTGTTGATCGATCTCTCTCAACAGCCTTCTTGACCTCCTCATAGACCAATCTCTTATTTGCTGGAAAACAAAATAAAAGAAAAAACTTTCAAACAATTGCATAACATATGTTCATACAGGTATACATGTTATGTAAGTACATCTGTACCAAATAAAAAGAGGACTACATCTTCAAAATGTATTGTTGACTTCAAGATATCATGTTACAAATCATATGGTATGAGCTTAGTGTCTAATACAGTTTAGAGAGAGGCATAGTAGGCTGGCGCTGATTATGAAACTTTCAGTCTGATTACATGCCGGTTTTAGATGATGAACAGTAGGTGTTATGTACAATAAGTAATGTCGTTTAGTTACCAAGCATTCGACAAGGTTAACTTCAATTTTAGATTTACATAGAAGACCATAATATAAATTTATGTCTCTTCTCTTTTCTTTCTTATTTTCAGTAGTAATCCCGTTTAAACAAAATATTTTGCATCAATACCACATAAAGACCACACACATCATAATTTTAGAAGAACATTGAGTTTTGTGCTGAGAATTTAAAGGTTGAACTCATCAAATTAAGTCTTGGATCCACACATAGAGAGGAGGGGAGTGGGCGGAGAGAGGGTTGTTTACTTACAATCATCCAACATATCTATGAAATCCACCACAATAATGCCACCAATATCTCTCAGCCTTATTTCCCTAGCAATCTGAGAATAATTTTCAGTATATACTTAATGACCACAATTATCAGAAAAAATTAAAAAAGGGAATCTGCCGTAAACAATAAACTTAACATATAGAAAGAAAACCAATGCAATCCTATGTTGTCTTTATCAACAAAAAAGATCCAATGTTGTGTTGTCGTACATTTCAGTAACTAGCTCGGGGTCTCAGATAAAAGGTTCAAATCTAACCAGAAACACCTAATGAAGCTAGAAGTGCAGTATTTCTTTGAATTAGAATGATGAATACTTGCTTATGGTTAAAGCAAAAATGAGTACATAACATCTCATTTGGATTGGTTTCTGCCGTCTTCCTTCTCCTTTAAAAATGTGTGTAATTCTGCAGCCCAGGCTGACTGCTAAATTGGATCAAATTAACGCGACTTAAATAGAGGTGCATAAAAGCAACCACAGATTACCCCGTTGCTTTGGTCTAGTGGTAAGAGCGCAATGTGTGATGTGTGGGTTAGACACACGTGAAGAGCTCGAACCTTCCTATGACAAAAGCGTGGTATTTAACTGAAGAAAGGTAGAGAGCGGGCACATTATCCACATAGCCCTCTATGTCTTGGTTATCCCCTCCAAGAAAAAAGAAGAAGATGTTTAGCACGTAATTGAGACATGCTATGTCCAAACCAATAGCAGATTAAAACAGCAACATGGACATGATACCCTGTGTAGTTTCTGTTTTTAAACAAGAATTAATTCTCCATAGAAGACGCATCAACAGAATATTCTTCTGTTCTGGGATCTGACAAGATACTACTAAGCTACAAACGAGGCCTTGTCTACCACAGGAAAAAAGAGAAGCAGTGTAGCTTGTCAAGAGAAATGTTTTAGTGTTGGATTGAAGTATTTCCATCAAACACTAAGCATCTTCTAATTCATTAAAAAGGATCTTCTAAGCATATCCTAGTTTGTTTTCTGATAACCAACTTTCTCAGGTGTAGAAAAACTACGCTCTTGGAATACAATGTGTAATCAAAACAGATGCAGGTCTACATACTTGTCTAGCAGCTGCGAGGTTAACGTTGAGAATAGCCATCTCTTGTGAAGTCCCTTGACCAAGCACACAATGTCCACCATTTACATCGATGGAGACTAAAGCCTCTGTCTGTTCGATCACTAGATAACCTCCATTATCAAGGGGAACCCTGCAAATTTTATAAATCAAAGGATTAAGGAGGAATATCAATGAAACAGGAAACATGATTCACGAGAAGTTAAAATACATGTCATAAAAGACATAAAGCTAAAAGAAAGTAATAGAAAGAAACTAAGTGATCTCCACCTTTTGCTGAGAATGTTGTTTATTTCTTCTTCAATGTTGTATTCATCAAACAGGGGAGTTCTTGTACCATGCAACTCAACTCTTTCACAAAGATTAGGTGCCATTTCTTGAAGATAGTTTGTAACCTGAACAGAGTCCAATATATCTATATTAGGGTACACCATAATTTAAAAAATTCCTCAACAAATTCTAGCCCACAGGTTGTGGAACACTATACCGCGACTATTTGGTGTATGACAAGATCTCCAAAATAACTTTTGCAGAGTTGGAATAAAAGAGGACACAAAAAGGCGACAAAAGTTGTGGTACACTATACCGCGACTATATGCTGAACTGTGTGAAACAAAAGAAATCAGGACACTTAAAGTCAAAAAGGAAAATATTTGTAACTTAAAGCACAGATGCCCTTTTAGTTTAAAGACGAAAATCAATGTCCTCAGTTCTATTCACAAGTAGGTAATGTACTGAGATGCATATTGCAGTGCTACTCATCATTGCACTCTGGGCGCTATTCTTAAACAAGCTAATTTTACTTCTTAAATGTTTCATTAACTTGGGTTTAATTTGATCCAAGATAATCTCATTCATAGCCAGTATATGCAAATCTTTATGCCAAAAACCACTCACTATTGCAAGTGCTTATCAAAAACCGCTCCCATGTGAAAAATCAACCTAGAGGAACATTAAAGCTCGAGAAAGACATGCAATCATGCTTGTAGGTCAAAAATCTTTTCATTCCATTGACTGATAACTGGCTAAGTCCATACCTCATGATATGTCCTTGGAGAATCAACCACCAAACTCTTCACCTGAACATCAATGCTAGAGTAAGAAAGTATAATTGTGTTTTCATGCTAATTTGAGAAAGCCCATGAACAGAAGTTGCCTAAAAAATGAAGAACTGAACAAATTATGAAGTAATGACCCGAGAATGAGCAGCAGAGAGCAGACCTTATCGCTAAAATAATCTTGAACAACAGAAAGTGTTTGGCCCATTGCCTGGTGAAGCATAACAGGAACTGCTCCATCAACACCTTCATCTGCGGCAAGAGCTGCAGACTTTGCATGCTCAATTATACTTTTCCAAGTTGAAAGCAACCCTTCCAAGTCTTTCTGCAATTCATTTAGTGAATGACCAGCTGCAACTGTCCTTACTGTAAGACCATATCCTTGAGGCTGTAAAGTTTTTGCAATGACCCTTAAACGCGTGCGCTCAACACCAGCAATCTTCTTTGAAATACCTATCGTGTTGCCGCGAGGAGCTAAAACCTGGGAAGAGGAGAACCAATTAGATTGGGTTTTCTAATAATGGACTTTCAGCTGTGAGACACAGAATACATGATCATGAAACATGTAATACCCAGAATCTGCTCCTTAATTTCGGATAAGCAGTCAGTGTTGGGCCCTTCGTACCCAATCCTTCTTTAACAACTTGCACAATTATTTTAGTGCCTTTTCGGACCTGGACCCACTTGCTTTCATCTCTTTGTGAAACTTTCTTACCATTCATAGCATGCTCAATAGTTGGATTCTGCCCTCGGTACCCAATTCCACTGGATTCTTCTGGATATTTCTCTGAATGAGTATCAAGCCCATGCTCAGTTACACTACCATTACAATTTTCTGCAAGGACTTCTAAAATATCACAAGTATCACCACTTTCATGGTCCCCAAACTCACTGTCCATGTATTCCATGGATTCATCCTCTATATCAGCATCATCAATCTCATCCGCCTCCACTTCTTCTAAAGTGGATTTATTTCTAGGAAGACCTAGGTTCTCTTCAAGCATGTCAACAGCAGCACCATTAATTACCTTTTCCCTTGAATCATGACAAAATGGAGGGAAAATAAATGGTTCTCTGTTGGGCTTTATATCCATAAAGGAGGGTCTAGAAGTGCCAATATTTACAAATGCACCACCCATGTGTGGAGCTAATTTTGTAACTACTCCTAGATATACACTATCGCACTGCACGTTATTTTTCACTGGTTCCAGCAGCAGTTCAACCAGTTTCTCATTTTCTAAAACAGCAATTCTTTGCACAGTACAAACCGAAGAGTTAATCAGAATAATTGTTGTGAAAGAGTCTTCCTTGGAAATAGCATCACATTGATCAACATCCAACAGCTTCTCAGGTATTTGTTCATGTTGATTGCTAGATGAAGGTTGAGCTAACTGTTCAAGTTGATCGCTAAATGGAGGTTGAGCTTCATCCTTATTATCTGACTGTTCAACTTCACAGTCATAAGGAGCCATCTCAGCATCAAAACTAGGAGATGACGTACATGCTTGCAATAGCCAGGGCTCCTCTACATGGGCATATGTTGTGCACAAGGTTCCTGATGAAGCATCATTAGCATTGACCTGATACTTGGACCATAAAGTCTCACTAAGTGTGGACTGATTTAAGAATCCTGATTCTAAATTTTCACAGTCAAGACCCTCAACAATCTTGTCGTCACAAATGACATCACCAGAAGCATCAGACTCTGCCAAATGATGAAGAAGCAGGGAAGACTCGCATAACCATGGCTCCTCAATGATCAAAGGTTCGGTTGAAATACTTTTGCCACAATCTGAAGCTGTATCAATCTCATCTGAGAAAAAACTATCCTCATCTATAAAGTCACTAAAGACCTGCTTTAGGATGGAAGAATTGCTGTTCAAGCATTTCACAGTAACATTCCCATCTGCATTTCACTGGAAGCATTTAATATCCAAAATAATGCATAAATTAGAAAACTACAAAGAGTATAACTGTCCACAGAAATATTGTCATAAAAGTAATACCTCTAGTGCGAGCTGGAATGAATAGACGGATAGCTATAGACCTTTCTACTAGCCAGGATCCAAACATGCTACCCAAAGGCATCCTTGTATGAGATTTAATCCATAAGTTCCTTGGGAAAAGTTTTCCTCTTTGTTTAGAAGGTACTAACACAGGGACATCATGCCTAGCTTTGCATAAAGCAACAGATGAAGTCAACATATCTCCCTTCACAGAAGAGTTGCAGCTCAAATGTCCTGAATGCAGTATCTGCTAAGAACAACATGAGCACAGCGCACTAGATAATGAACAAAGTATCTAGTAAATTCTCAAATCATTTATCAGAAGATATAAACCTTGAGCTTAACATAGCTAGCTCCTAAGGTGATTCTTGTCTAAAACCATATAAGGAGATCAAGTACCTCATCCAAAACCGATGGGGGATATCTAACACCCCCTCCCTCCCCTGGCATGCCCAGGACTGGGCATCTTGAGCGTGTGGAATATAATATGGGGGTCCAACATCAGCTAAACTAAGAATTGTAGATTTGATATCAATCTCTATAAAATAGATTAGATTAGGTAGATATTATTCTATTCTTTTTCCTTTTCAACAAGAATAGACATAGCTAAAAGGAAAATTTTGAAATTTTCTTTCCCTGTGACTATTTTAATGGTATATGATAGATTGAGATGGTTACCTTTGACGTCTCCCATAGGCTAGAGAGTTCAGTACAAGACAAGAGAATAACCATCTCCAGAAATGGACCATCCACTGAATCAACTTCTCCAACTCAACGCACCTCAAATGATACTTCCAATTCAACAAATGAAATGCTTGAGAAATCATAATGCGCTGCATCAAGCAGCCATAATAAAACTTAACAACCAAGCGTCTGAACCGATTCTGAAAACACAAGGAAAAAGAAAAGAACTCCATTAAGAACAGAGGATGTTAACTCAGCACAGCTAAATTACCCCAAAATCAGAAACATCATCTTGCACTTTACAAAAGACATACGTGACCCATGAATGGACTAATTCATATCCTTTCTTGATTTTGTTGTCAAGAACTAACTTTTAAATAGCAGAAGTGGAGGGAACTCTTCTAAACAAGCGAATGTAATATGCCAATAGCTTCAAATAAAGTATCCAATCACAATTGCATTCAATAAAGAATCCCCAAACAATCTTTTCTTGAATTTCTACCGCCACCCACCCCCGTCGGCCAGCCCACAAGAAAATTGAGCAACCCCAGAAAAAAAAAAAGAATGAAGGGAAAGACAACATAAGCATTCAATAGCATAAACACAGAAAAATTGAAGTACAAGACTTGAAGGAAACCAAGCAGCAAGTTTATTCGTCCGAAAACTAAAGTCTTGCAACTGATAGAGGAGAAGTTAAGATTATGGAATGAATGGGAAGTAGCAGATAGAAAGAGAGAAGATAAAGAAAATAACCTGATAGAGCTATTGAGCAATAAAGAAGAAGAGGAACATACCTGTGTTATCTAGTACTACCTCGGACAGCAAAGAGAACGGCTAACTCTGGTTCTTGAAAGATAAGGAGCCACTCCTTCCCATTTTCTACGGGGTTTTCAATTTCTCTTTTATTTTCTTTTCTTTCTTCCCCTTTTAAAGGAAAAAAAGAAGAAGGGTATATTGTAACTATTCTTTGTGGATAATTATATTCGAAATATGAATCAAATGAAAGGGGATTATAATGTAGAGAATTGAACCATCATCAATAACGTGAGAGTTCAGGTAATCAACCACCTAAGCTGAGAGTATGTCATTATTTTTATTATTAGGTTGGTTGTATGGGAGTTAAATTGAGAGTGTATAAAAAATAAACTACTTTCTACCCCATAAAATTAGGGTAAGAAAATCTAAAACTACAATGAGTGTGTTATTTTTGTTGTTGTTTTGAAACTTGAAAGGTAACTGTTACTAATAATAACAAATACACAGATTAATAGAAATCTTAGATGACTGTAAATTCTTATCATTTTTTTTTTAGGTAACGGTAAAAACACACAAACTATTACCTTTTCTCTAGTTTGATCTAGTTTGATGTATTAACTATTCATTATTTCATTTAGCTACCTAAATTATCACTACTTTATATTAGAAACACACATCGATGCTAAGTTGACCTTCAGAGTAAGACAAGAAAAATGCTTCCGAACCTTTTTCTCAATTGACCAAAGATTTTAACCAAAATTTTGGAGAATCTTAATAGTGTGTTGATTAAATACTTCAACTTTTACCTAGTAGGTGAGAGTTTTCCATCTTCCCTCTCCCTACCCTAAATTGTTTTTATCTCTGAAAATATGAAATAATATACACTTATATCATAAAAAAAAAATATACAATCAAACTCGAGAATAGACAGGAAATATATCTAACAAAGAGACAGAGAGATCGGCAAAATGGACAACCTTGCAAAATGGATATCCAAGATTTATTACACTAATATTTATAAACTCGACACAAAGGGAAGAAGTGATCTCCACGAAATGATGCTACACCATTTTTAACATATCATTTGGTTTCTGTACTGTATACAATAATATTAGACTGGCACAAAATCTATCTGACTCCATGAACCCTGGATATCTAGGTACGACGAGATTTCTGGGACTTGAGAGACTCGAAGCGAGCAGTAAGCTTGTCGTAGTCAGGTAAATTGGGATGAACCCGAGGCACATGAGGTGCAGGACGGTTAGGGGCTTGATTGATTCCTCTAGTGAATTCTTGAGTTTCCATCTCTTCTTCACCATCTGATTCATCAAACTTGATACCTGAATGTGCTGATGGAACATTGTAGCTGTGCCTTCTGTAGAACTTCCCACCATCAGTATCAGTTGGTGGGCTGGGTTTATATGTCCCACTTGGGGGATCTTCCATCTCGATTTCCTCGTCGCAATCTGAATCATCATACTGAACATTACGATTTGAGGATGGAACATTATAGCTATGTCTCCTATCAAACTTCTGTGATTTTTTCATATCTAATGGCATATCTTCACCAGCAGAACTATGCGAATTTTCAGAATTCCTGATGTTCTTACTACTCCAATGCATATCATACAGATCAACTATGGACTGAGAAGGTGGTGCCACTTCATTTTGCGAGAACTTGGGAGCCTGAGCACCAGAAATGAAAGGGATATTGTCAACAGTTGCATTGTTCCTAGAGTTGTGACAACCAGCAGAAGATGCTTTTGCATCTTTACTGGCCAGATATGCAGCTGCTTCAGCTGCAGCAATTGCTTGCTTGGCAGATTCAGCAGCTGCTTTAGCAGCTGAAGCTGGGTCATCAAATTTGGCAACTTTCAATTCTCCGTCATCTGAAGTCCTGTTAGTAATTGACCAGCCAAGTCAAATCCTTTTTTTGTCAAAGAGAACAAAAGAAAAATCATGGTTCAACAGTAGGGCGGGAAACAAACTTTAACTTATGAATGAATACCTTGGGAGGTTGTTAGGCTCAGCAGGTTGCTTTGAGGTCGGCTTCAGGGGTAAGCTAGTGGCACTTACAAAGCCATTTGGTCCTTCCTGATCAAAGAGAATAGATACTAGTTAGGTGGTCATCGAATGTGTTTGGCATCATATTCAGATAAAGATGGATTTTGAGAGAGAGACACACTATACGCTCTTCTGGTGGCTTGAGAAGCTCCATCTCTGAATCTGCGGTGTCCCATTCAACCTGGTATTCCTTGGCTATTTCTTTCATGATTTTTAGTTTGACTTCACCACTTGGAGTTTTCACAGAGAGCTTTTCAATGAGCTGTAGCAACAATTACCCACTTCTCTTAGACCCCTCCGAAGCACAAAAATATAGATACCTTTATTATGATAAAGAGAGCGTCGAGTTTTAAGACAAGAAATATGATTACCGTCCGGTTTACACCAGCGTTGGGTCGCAGGTCAGTCGCTGCTGAAACAAAATCTTTTCCATATTTCTTCTCAAAAACGTCTTTAATTCCCATCAATTCTGGAATATCTGAGCACCTTGGGGCAGCAAAAATCAAACTTGATATCCCCTCTTTCAAATCAGCTGGACATTGCCTGCAACAGGCAGATAAATAGAAAACAAGGGTATTTGTTAGCTTTGTCTTCTAATCTTAAATTTTTGAAGAAAAAAAATTATATAGCATGAGACATCTTACTTTTGCTTTGCAATAATTGTTAGTCTAGCCACAATTAGTTCACAGAAGAGCTCGAGGATCTCATTTGCTTGCAATATATTTTGTTCCCTTATTACATGTTCGACCTATAAAAAATGAAGCATGTGAGTGTTCTTTCCAAACGATTAGTAGAAAGAGACAACCCTAAGAACAGTAACTTCTTGAAAAGGATCATGAACGATAGAAATAAGAAGATTCCACTTTAACTTGAAATATATGTCATTCTAAAATCACATGTTGGTCTATCAAAACAGAAGAGGTTTGTTGATATCCACCATTATAGACGTGAAAGATAACTTTCAACAAAATCCCTTACCCAAAAGATAAACACATAATGTATTTCTGCCCTCTCATAGTGCATAATATTATGGGTCTTTTTAAGCAACTTCAAGATTACCCACAATGACATGCCCAGTGTATAATCCTACAAGTGAGGTGTAGGGAGGGTAATGTATGAGATCTTACCAATACCTTTGTCCTACAAGTGAGGTCTGGGGAGGGTAATGTATGAGATCTTACCCATACCTTTGTGGAGTAAAGAGGTTGTTTCCAATAGACCCTCTCGACTTCACGATTATCCAATAGAACATAAATATTATTGGAATTTCCATACTCTTTGCATTAAACAGAAGAGTTCATTCCTATCACATTGATTAGTCCAATCTATAGCCACAACCAGAAAGATCTAATGGCAGAGGTATCTTGGCTCAAACATTAAGGTAGACATCCAGCATAGCTGCTAAAGCTTGGAGGAGGAGGGAAATTCAGCAACTAAATCCCATGGTATAAATTAAGAAAGAAGCAAACAGAGTTTTAGCAAAAGCACATAATTTTGAAGTAAACAAAGTGTCTCAGAATGAGAAAAATCATAAATACAATCAAGATACTTCAACGAGATTAAGTTAATCACAGCCTCCAGGTTTTGGTGAATAGCCCCAAAAGATCCTAAAAAGAAGTCAGCTCTATCCACATGTAGAAACCCTATAATCTTGAAGCAAAGCAAAAATTGTATGTTTCAAGCTAAATGATCCATAAGGGTTTCAGTACTAATTCTAAACAGTAACAGGAGAGAGCTAGCCACCATGACTGACATCCCAGGCATGATATACCAAATTCCCCATTCCTACGAGTTGATTTCGAGGTTACATATAAATTATTCCATTAATCCATCAATCAATCAATCAAATAATCCCCAACCCTAAATCAGAGGTTAAATACGAAACTGGAAAAAAGTACCCGAATACGAGCAGTGGCATCCTGACGGGATTCAAGAAGCATAGCAATGTCTCTCCTCATTTGCCTCACAACCACCTCCCTCTTGTTTCTCAGCAATTTTATTCTCGCCACCGTCATCTTTGCCATTGTCTTGCTGCATACACACAAAAAAATGTAAAATAAAAAAAAACTTGATTTATTTTATTCAAGAAGAAGTAAAATTGAAATTCACCATTTAGAAGAATTGAAGGTTCTGCAGAAGAGAGAAAGACCCATCTTCATGGCCTTCTTGCAGTGCTTGGTGGCAGCGTTTGCTACTGTCATTTTCTTCTTAAAAGAGAAAGAGAGAGTGAAGCAATGAGAAGAGTGTGTGTGAGAATGGTAGTGAAGAAGAGAACAGAGTTGTATGTGTAACGGTCGTTTGGGATGAAAACAAAAATATACTATCATTATATCAAAAGTGGATGACGTGGCGGTATTGGTAGGGCCCAGCGAGGAGCGACGACCGTCATAGACAAAAGAGCCGTTATTTTATTGACGACGTGGCGTTCGTTTGTAAGGGTCTTATTATGGACCTTCAGAGGATCCCATGTATATTCAAGGTTTTGAACCGTGGGTTTTGTGCCTTTCTAGGAAAACGTCTTTTGGATTCTACCTTTGCACTCTTCAGCCTTCACCATTTTCATCATTTTAATACAGCGTCTTTTTCTTCCCCTTTTCACATTGCTTTTTCTTCTTCACACTGCTGTCTTCACCATTAAGATACCATCAACGAAAATATTTAATAATATCTTTTTTTATTTTTATTTATCACTTTTGCTTATAAAATTAAGGTAATTAATCTTTAAATATTCAAAAATTATATTAAAATTGTAATCATTCTCCTATTAATTGTTAAGAAAAATACATTCTAAAATGTTCCATCAAAATTCACACAATTTGGAACATCTAAAAGTTTGGTCCTAAGTTTGTAGTGGTTGAATATCAATTTCTACAACTGATTTCAGTCTGATTATCTAAATAATTTTTTACCTCGAAGCACCTTCTTTATTAGGCTCTCTTGTGGTGTCTAGATTTGTAGATAATATCCCATTCGAGTTGTTAAAAGATTCACCATCATCCTTGTTCTATATATATCTTAGCATCATTGTTATAGTATTAATTTGAGCACATTATTATAACCAAATAAAAAGGAATGAGTTTTCTCCCAT